GGTGTGGGTGTGGGTGTGAGGGTGTGGGTGTGGGTGTGGGGGTGTGGATGTGGGTGTGGGTGTGGGTGTGGGTGTGGGTGTGGGTGTGGGTGTGGGTGTGGGTGTGGGTGTGGGTGTAGGTGTGAATGCAGAGAAGAATGACACCCACGCCCACACCCACGCCCACACCCACACGCACCCTGTATCCTATCTTAATACTCATTATGACATTTTTAATACTAATCGTGCTATTGGCAATTCTACATTATATTTACCAATGGAAGTCAAAAAAAATTTTCTTTGTTGAAAAACGACCTAAAACCAGTCATGATTTAGCTGCTTCTATGACAAACTCATTTGCCAAAAAGAAATATTCTATGTCAATGCAAAACATGCAACAGCTTTCATCATCAAATGGAAGTGACCAGATGAAAAGATAAAAAGAATAAATTCTTTCTCTTTAAGACAAAAAATAAACTTATGTTATCATGGTTTGCATTAAACCTGTTTATATTTTATAGATTCTGATCCCGAATCAAAATGAATCGCCTGTTTACTATTCAACTATCCCATACATAACTCATTATTTAACTTCAAAATATCGCTTGTCCTATGTATGAAATTGCACTTTGAAAAAGACACAATTTAATGTTTGTTCATGTTTTTTTTCTTCTCTCATCTATTTAATCACTTTGATTGTTATATGCTTGAATAAATACATTCCATTTACCGCCATATGCCATTATTCCTCTGTCATTGTAACAACCCATGATTTTTTTTTTCAATTCTTCTGTTTTCGTTTTAGATGAATTCATCAATATTTCTAAGTCAAATGAAATCATCTTTAGATCGATTAGATCGACGAAATTTACGTTATCAACGAGAAAATATTTTGAAAAATCAACATTATCAAGATTTAGTTGATCGATATTATCCAAATTACCAATTATTTGAACCACTACAGAATTATAATTTAATCTTTATACATAAGCAGACATCAACAGAAATTTTAAATCATGTCATAGGATAGCTTCTGAAACATTTAACATTACTCTTGATACACAACACTAAATGGACCCATATCTATGGGTCAGTAAATCTATACCATCATTAATACAAATATAATTCAGTTCTTTTGAACATTCACCGCTGATTCTTCTTGTTGAAGTTTTATACCTCAAATCTAATTTTACAACAAGAACACGAGATTATACTAAAGAGCAAAAAATAAAACAACTATTCAAAGAAATTTTTTCACCGAATAAATATGTATTTGCTTGGGGTAATCCAAAAGACAAGTCATTAACATTTTATCAATATGAATTATTTACCGAAAAGGACTTGAACCAATTAAATTTAATTGATCTACATGAGCAATTTTAAGATTAGTATAAATTGACATTTCCACGTTCTTTAGTTCATCACATGAGGTCAAAGGATGAACTATATTCATTACAAACAGCACCATTTCTTGATTGTGATGAGTGGCTTAACAGAACAATGCAATATGCTGTATCGAATTGTGGTATTGATAGTAACTAAAAAAAGTACCATTGTAAATTTTCGTCGAATTCAAACAATAATTATTATCAACTTATTTGAGAAGAAATTCAATATCGTCAAGATAATCAAATTTATGCCATTTGCAATTGTTTTGTGATTACCAAATTAGTGAATTTCATGTTAAAACAATATCGATTAAGTGAGAAGAAAACTTTTTCGTCATCTCAAATTATTCATTATAAACGGAAAAGACCTCAATCATTTGTGTAAATAAAAATATATATTTGTCTGTTTTCTTTTTTTTTCTTAGCCTAATAAAGTCTGTGAATAAATATACATATGATTTCAATTTCTACTTACTATTCTAGATTATAATACATATTACACTAGTTACACTAGACTTCTGAATATGGCAATGAATCACCTTATCGAAAATTAATTGCTCTTAGTCAAACTCTTCAACGTTTACCTGACGATGCAATAGAGGGTGTGGGTATGGGTAGGTGCGTCGGTGTTGGGATTAGTATCAGCTAACGAAAACCCAATCCACACCCCACACCCACACCCACCCACCCACATCCCACACCCACACCTCACCCACACCCACACCCCACACCCTCATGTATTCATGTTATGATAGGTTTTCGTGCACTCATCTTTGACATTATCAAATGTTAAATCATATACCAAATTAATAAAACGACGTTTCAGATCTCTATCATACATCTCTAATAGACAACTAAATATACTATTATTTAAAACTATTAACGGCTATTGAACGCATTCTTATAGCAGAAAAACATAAGACGAAAAGGTGATGAATTATTTTGCACAATATTGTAGTTTGCACATTTCCGTGTTTTATCTTAATTTCATAAATTTCTCATTCAATTGTGAAGCAACTCTTCGAAAATGATGTCTGACGAAACAACAGAAAAAAAGGAATATTCATTCATTCGTCGCTATCTCTGTAGTAACGACCATATTCAACATACATTGTCTTCTCTTTTTCGGACGGTTAATATAAAGAAATGAAAAAAAAAAAAACTCATCCGTCAATGAATATAAATAGAGAGCATAGCTATAAAAATGCAGAAATAATCGTTTATATGAATATATATGGCATTGATTACACGTTTCGACGGTGTGTAGTAGAAATGTCGAAAGGAAAAATGTCGAAAGAAAAAAAAATAGGGTAAAAATGTCGAAGGAAAAATGTCGAAAGGGAAAAACGTCGAAAGAGAAAAATGTCGAAGGAAAAAATATCGAAAGGGAAAAATGTCGAAAGAAAAAAATATCGAAGGGGAAAAATGTCGAAAAATGAATTCTAATATAAACAGATGTCAAAATGAAAAATAAAAGAAACAGCGATGTCTCCCATAAATGATAACTCTAAATTCGAACAATACATTTTTTCTTTTATTATAATTCCTATAGTCGAGGTTTTTCACAACTAGTAGTAAAAATGACTAATACGTGATAGAGATTAAATAAACAACTATATACAACGTAAATAAATAACTATAGTGATAATAATATGCCAACAAATACGGTATTTTTAAATGACGGAACTCAAATACTTATTAACAGTTTCTCATAACTTCATTCTTATATATTTAACATTTCATAGTCGCTTTAATGAACGAGTTCAAGTTAATCATCCAAACATTTGGTCATTAATAAAGTTTGTACAAGGAGAAGAAAATCGTTTTCATCACCTAAGTATTTAAATTTTATGCAGGTTTAAGAACACGACCTAAGCAAATAAAAACAATTGCAACTCAACGTCGTATCGATGTTCTTCGTAAATGATATTATGGTGGTATTATCAAAGCTATGGAATACATAGATAGCTTATCGTTGATCGTTGCAAAACGAAAAAAATTATTTTTTTAAATTTATTTCTTCATTCATAAATTCATTTCTATTAACATATGTTAGTGTTAGCATAAAAAATAAAGAAAATCTCTTCTATTTCAAGATTTTCTAACAAGAATAATCAACCATTTTCTTAATGTATATCTTTTTCGATATTTTTCCCGTTCGACATTTTTCTTTTCGACATTTTTCCCTTTCGATGTTTTTCCTTTCGACATTTTTCCCCTTCGTTTTTTCGACATTTGTCCTTTCGACATTTTTCTCTTTCGACATTTTTCCTTTCGACATTTCTACTGCCAACCGTTTCGACGATTTACCCGATCTAGTATTGATCGAGTTGTTCTCATATCTATCGTCTCTCGATATTCTTTGGGGATTTACTCATATTAATGATCGTCTAAAAATGTTAACCATGGAACGAGGTCTTTTTTATCATATCAACTTATCACTTGCACGTGATTATCAATTTAATAGAATTCTTCGTTTTCTTCTATTGAATGATATTCAGTCACTTGCAATTGATAGTGATGCATCTCCACTTCAATTAACTCGTTGGCCTTATTTACCTCGTTTGAAAACTCTGCGTATTATTGGTGTACACAATCATAATGATCTTTTGCTCTTTCTTTTGCTTCATGCAGCCACACTCATTCATCTCATTATCAAATCAAATGAAAGATTGGTTCCCGTAAGTGTCAACAATTTTTTTTAACAAATGCAAAGCTTTACAAAGAAAGGAGATTGTTGGAGCAAACATTGAAAATGCTGAAGGATTGTTCTGTTAAATTGGTTCTTAATGTCTTGAGTCGATATTAAAAAGAAAACTGTAGTAAGAATTATGTGACTATCAATGGATTGTGTCCAAGATAAACTTTTTCTTATTAAAATATTTCGATCGGAATAGAAATAAAATAAATATGTTAAAGATATTATAAAAGATAAGTTGATTGCTCTTTTATTTATACGTAAAAGTGAAGTCACTTCAAAAAAAAACAAATTTGTATGACAATACAGACAAGTTTAAATTCACAGAAATTATCAGAATTAA